TTCAAGCTTCTTGCATAACCTGAAATAGTGTCATTGTGCATGATAGTGAGTCTACTTTTCCAGTTATTTCAGTTGGTTTTAGTAAAGTATTACTTCTCACCTCACAACTTCTACCATCACAGCTAAAACCATGCTATTAGTAATTTGAAATGGCATTTGCTGTTTGCTTTAGGAATCTGCTGAGAAGAAAGGCTGCAATGGCATTACAAACACTTGGTATAACACCATGTAATGCAAATTATGTCAGGAATGAGAGTAGGAAAAAAAGTATTTTTAAGAACAACATATTTTATTTATGATAGGTACATTTATTTTAATACAAAATTTGAAATGTAATACAGAGGGTTTTTTTAATGTATTCTTTTCTGAAATTCTCTTTGCTTGAATGATTTAATTTCTCAAAGCAACATGTGTTACCTGATAAAGTTTTAAAACATTGAAGTGGAAGGAGACTGCCGACCTGGCACTTGGCATCAGAATTCACTTAGCTGCTGAAGTGGTTAATCAGACTTTGACTAATCAGCTGCTTCTACATGTGCAAAGGGAATAGATCTTAGTAATTTCAACTAGCTCAATTCAGTGACTACTTGTCTTGTTTTAAACTGAGAAACCAGCTGAGAACTGGAAAAGTATGAAAGATTTTCTCTCTCAAACACATGTGAAAGCAAATTAGGTTTGGAAAAAAATATATTTAACAAATCTACATGTTTTGAAGGATGTGGGAACCTAGAATAATTTGTTCAGCCTCCTAGCTAGAAATCATACTTTTTTTGGTTTAGGAAATAAGACTGCTTAAACTTCCAAGCAGATCCTGATATATTTTTTACCATAGGAATTAGGACATTTTATGTAGTTTTATCTAGCTAGTAGAAAATATTTTGGCACCTCTTCATTGTGCCTTTTAAATTTGTTTCTGTTGAAAATAGGTAAAAGAAGCCTTTTTAACAAAATAAGGATAAGAATGAGAACAACTATGTTAGTAATTTGATCACTGATTTTCATGAGTATCTTTAAATTTGTTTGGTGTTTGTATTTTTAATTTAGTTCCTTTTTTCTAATAAACTGATTTGCAGGTAAATGTGTATATTACTTTCTGCTAATCAAGAAAGCACATTAATTTGAAGTTGTTGATTAAATTAGTTTTCTGGCCTGCCAATTTGAATAATTCTAAAGTTTATTTTAAACACTTTGATTTAAATTAATGTATACTACAAAAAATAAGTGCACTAGCAGCTCTATGAAAATTGCAAATGAGCAGTGTTCTGGTCTCTCCTTTCTTCATTTTCTAACTAGCAAATGAGATTTTTTTTTTTTTTTAAGAAAAATGGAAAAGTAAACCCAGTTCACATTCATACACGAGAATCAGGCAGTTCTTAATTCTCATTACCTAGCCAAGGGTTGGGAGTCAGAAGAGAATAATGTGAAATAAATTGCAATTTTTTGTCAAGCTAATTCTCTTCCTATGTTGTTTGCTATTAAGAGTTAAGATAATCATGTTTTAGCATCCGGTTTGGAGAACTGACTATGGGTGAGAAAATAATCAAATTACATTTATTTAACAAAAAAAAACCCCTACAAACCCCACCCAGTCCTTCCCATTTCTATCTGACAAACAAATCCTAGCTTTGTCAGGACATATTTAAAGACAGGAAGTTCATGTTTAGTTGCTGGAGCAGGGATAGCATCATTTGCATTTATCAACTTTGAAAATTTATGGTATGGCATGAAAGTTTTTTCAAAAGAACAACAAAAAAGTATTTTGCAGTGAAACTTAATCTGTACTCTTTCTTGGTTTCTTTTTTCTTTTTTTCTTTCTTGTTTAAGTTCTCGTCCCACTCCTAGAACTAGCACTGCAGTAGAAGTAAGTGATGCTACTACTGCCCCAATCCAAAATTCTCCACAAAGAGATTCACGCTTGAAAAAGGTGAGTATAAAAATAATGCTAAGGGATGGTGGTATCCTTATAGTTAGAATTCTAGCCTGGAGTCTGTGGCAAAGTAAACTTTCTTCTCCATCCTTCCATAATTATGAAAGCAGTTCCTATAGTGTGCAAGTTATTAAAAAAAAAAAAAATTTGCAAAACTTCAGATGTAAGAGTTAAGCAAGATGCTTAGTCTCCTTCTCCTCCCCCACTCCCCCCAGTGTATAAAAAGGATAATGCTCTCTTCTTTCCTCTTGTCTACTTTTTTAAACTTAGGTTGCAAGTTTTTTGGACCCAGTGCTTTTTCTTTCAACATGTTCCTTTATCATAATTTTTAGTTGTCCCTATCTGCTACTACATAATAAACAGCATATTCTATATTATTTTTATATGGCCAAACTGTGTGGTATAATGTTGAAATGAAATGTTTTGGGAATAAACATAAACTTTCTTTTTCTGGTGCAAAACAGTTTTTTAAAAAACTTTGGTTTTGTTCTAGGCTAAAACTATGTGCTCAGGTCAGCAGGATATGGAGTCAACATTGAAAGAGCTCATTTACACTGAATCTGATCTTATCATAACACCAATCATTGACAATCCAAAGGTATAGCAAAATAGAATATAAGATTCAGGAACTTGTGGGTGAGGCTATTTTTGCAGATAAATCTCTAATCAGGGTGAAACTCTTTTCCTGTATTTTATAATTCTCATTTTAAAGCAGTTCCACCCAGTCATCTGGCAAGCTCTCATGCAATTTTTTGGCAGTCTTTTATAATCCTATTGTGTTGCTAATTTGGAGAACTGAGTTATTTTGGGATTGAATACTAATATTAAATAATGTCTTACAAGAAATAAACTACTAAATATTGTGTTCAGTGCTTTGAAGATTTGTTTTCTGATATCTATTGATACCTATTACTTAAATGAACACAAAACTGAGTGTGTTTTGGTATACTCAAAACAAGGCCATTTATGAAGCCTTCTAGATTAGGAGTTATACCTTTACAGAATAACTAAACTTTAGATGTGATAATCTTTCTAACAAATATGAACTTATTTTCTCTGGAAAAGAAGACCTGAATTTACAAGAAATGTCCATCCATTTTCTGTCATAAGGATTCTAATGTGATAACAATTTGTGATGAGTCTCTTGAGCAGAGACTGACAGCAAAGGGAAGAGCAAAAAAAAAATTAGATCTCTGCACTGCAATGACAGTGTAAAGTGCGTGTATGGGCACTTGTGTAGTATTGGTAGAAGGAGTGATAGGCCAGAGACCCTTTAGTCTTCCTTTTATTTATGTGCAAAAAAATGAAGTCATTTTAGCAACTTTACTCAGTAAGTGGCAGATGCAGCGAATGCAACATTTTTCATTGGAAGTGAGCATCTAGCTCATTAAGAATGTCTTACAGCTTTTATTTGCTGTATTGCTTTAGTATACCAATTTTTTTGTTTGTTTTAATGGAATTCCTAACATTCCCCCAAATTAAAAATCTTACACAGCTAGATAAAGTACCTACCCAGCAATACTGTTTTAATGTGTTTGGGGTGGCGGACATTGTTGCCAGTGGAGAATTTCAAAAGTAATGATACGTTTGAATGCCACCTCTGTAAATTCTCAGTTCTGTATCAGGACTCTGACACAAAGCCTTAGCCCTTCGCTGCTTCTCTTCTTACTACAAGTATAAGAGATAAGATTAGGGGGAAGCGTACATGCTAATGTGCACATGGAGACTAATCTCCTTACCATGCAATTCCGGACTCAGAATTAATGCAAAATAGCCCACTAAATTCCAGGGACATGTAATCAGAGTCATTGCATACTTGGTGATCTTCAGACTAAAGGATGATACTGACACCTGGTAAAGCTGAAGAGCTTGCAATTTAATCTCCTGGAACGGGATTTGGTAGATGCTGGCAGAATTTTAACAGCTGAAATGTCAGCTTTTATTGTAAAATTTCCCTCTGTTCTGCAGATCTGTGGAATTGAAGACCTTTTCCAGAAAATAACTCTCTAGTTACACCTAAGCTTCATCTGTCAAAGGCTAAATTCCAGTGTACAATTTATCTTTTTTGTATGCTTTAGTTACTGAAAATCACACTCAAATGCTCAGTCATTGAGCAGCCATCCAGTTTCACGATGTACCAGAAAACAATGTGTTGTGGGGAAAAAAACCCCATACCTTACGAATGATTAGTTGGCGATAATATTACTTTTTATATTCTAGAATGGCATAGTGTGTATATATATGTATTTACTGTACGGCAACGAATTGCTAAAACGTTTCATGGGCTCTCGGCTGCATAGGACCTTTCTGTAGCTTTTGAAACCCAAATACAAGTTTTTTTCCCTGCATACAAGCAAGATAAAAATGTAAACTGAAAAAATCCTATCATTTTGAATTCCAATTAAATAAAAAAAATCACTTCAATGGAAATACTAACAATTTAATTATATTAAAAACATAGAGTTAAATCTTGAATATCTGCTTGGAAGAAAAACATACCAGAAAACAATGGAAAATGCCTCAGTAATGAGCAGTAGTTTGTACACCCATCCTGTACAATTTTTGCATCTTTGTGTTTTTATGCTCAAGTACTTAGAGATTTCCAGAAATGTATTAAAACTAGTTGTAATGTGCTTGTTTATTTTTCCAGATAATGAAGCAAGTGCCAGTTAGATTTGACTTGAAAACTTTACATGTACCAACATATTCAGGTATGGATCTGCTGAAGTTGTTAAAACTCAAGTTCTGTGTATGATGGTGCAACTCGCTATCACAAGATCTATACCCTTCCTTTGTAGATGATAAACTGTCACAGTTGGAGAACTCATAACTTTTCTGAAACTGAAGTTGCATGTTTAATGTTTTTAGTTAGACCAATTCTGAGTAGACTTTTCAAGTGCTAACAGTTATAAGCCCTTCCTTTCTCTTCTGCCTTCTTCTGTTACAAGCTCATGCTCAAAACCTTCTAAAATGAGACAGCATACGCCATTTTAGTGTGTGGAAAAACGGCATATTTTTCACTGTGTTATTTTTGGTAAACAACTGAGATATAACTGAAATATTCAACCAAATAGATTAACATTTGGCAAAGGTAGAGAAGAAAATGAAAACACAATATTAAAATGTGCAGTGTTGATCAGCTGTAATACTAGGCAGCCTTGCCAGTCCCACCTTTAATCATGAAATGTTATGGGAATCATGTCCCAAAAGATAGTGTGGAGTTGTTTGAGATTTGGGTTTTTGTTGTTGTTGTTTTTAATGTCTAGAAGGGCTGCTGTTGTTTCTGAAAACAAAAGGCTGCTCATTGTCATGAGTGTAATGTTTCTTCCCCTGGAAAATTTTTTCTAGTCTATTTAAGGAAGTACTATTACACTTTGTGCTTGACGAGGGATGTCAGCCAGATATGTGGTCCTTCTAGAATTCACATAGCGCCTTTTCTTAGACATAAAAGTACCTTTTTCTTTCTATAAAGTATGTATTTTGGAGAGGTACTTTGTTGAAGAAATGTTATAGTTGGAAAGGAACACAATGTCCCCCAGTCTCCCAATCAAGACTGTAGTAACAGAAAATATTTTTAATTTGGCTAACATCCTAGGCAACAATGATCAGATTTAAGTGCTTAAGGGGGTGGTATTTTATTTCATATTGCATGTAAGTAGCTGAATTATTCTGATATGTTTAACTATTGTTGCCTGTATTTATTTAATAAGGGACATTGTTTTTTGTGGTTGTAACATTTTCAGGCTTATAGCTTTCTTCTGGAGAACTTTCTGATTGTTTTTGAAGATACTGAATTTGATGCTGCTTGTCAATAATGATTAAAGACAGTATGGAAAAATTAAGCTAAATACCCGCAATCCAAACCTCTTTTCACCTTTACTAATGTAAATTAGATTTGCCTTCATTAGTAGGTGTTGTTACTTAAGTATAAAACAGGAGTGAAAGACAGAAGACATGCTCTTAAATATTTAGTACTGGAGCATGCGAGGATGGCAGATAAGTTATTAATAAATAACTAACCAAAACTGAGGGAATGTATGGCTGCTAGAGTGAAGTTTTCCATTGGGACTGATAAGGAAGTCTTTGAAAATTCTCTATTCATGTATAGTGGTCAATTAATTGAACCACAGGATTTATGTTAATTGTCCTAGTGACTTGACTTCTTTGTGTTCCTCCTGAAGTCATCTATGTTCTGATACTACTAAAGCTTAACTAGATGGATACCTACCTATATGAATAACTATACAAATTTTCAGTTTATTGATTCTGAGGAGATTTTGCTGACTTTCATTAGTTTTTGCCTCAAATTTACTCTGATGAAACTGCACTTTCTTAAGAATTAGTAATGATTAAGGACAACAACTACTACCTTTCCTAAATATCATGCTAATAAATGTTTACTTAAATGAAGTCCAAGGACAGAGCAGGGTTGCACTTTCAAAATGTTTTGAGGCTTTTATTGCTACATTTTTATGCTTTGTTTCTGTTCTTACTATTTCTTTGATTTCTATAATCTTCAGACATTAAGGATAACATGTTTGTTTAATATTTTAAGTAATAAAATTATAATTAGATTCAAACTTTGGTACTTATTTATGTTGACGTTACTTTCTAGTGTGTTAAAGCAACATCAAAGATCCATTGCCTTTAACTACTTCTTTGGTTCTTCTCTTAGCTGAGAAGTTATTGTCTATGAAAGATGTGGACTGGAATGACTTCTTGCAACGAGTATGTTCACTGCTTGATTCCACCAAGAAGAATACAGGAGCAGCACGTTCTAAACTGAACTTACTGTACTATCTGTGTACTGTAGCTGTCCACAAGGAAGTTGCAAGCAGGCTAATTAGCTCTCAGCTGGTAAATAATAAAGCTTTCAAGGAATCAACTTTTACATACTCGCCATTGTAGCAAAAATCAGCTGCTTTTAGTTATATTTCAAGAAATCATTGGCATACTGACCAAAATAGTATGGTGAATTAAATATAAAATAACGAAAAAAAAAATTACTAAATTCCACGTCAGGTTTTTTAAGAGCTGAGTGAAATTAGTTCTTTCTCTTAGATTTCAGATACCTTTATGTATAGATTTGTTGTATTAGTGAAAAGATTGGGGTAAAAACTAACCTTGATGGAGAGTGTGAAATAACATGTGATGAAACATCAGTCTTCGTAAATCATTAAGTGGCAGGGAAGACTGAAAAAAGTTCATGTTTGAATTGTTAAATCAGTTTTATTTGGCCATATGTCTGTAGAGAATAGCAAGAAAAACTTTCTAAAGAACATGCAGTAAAACTTTCATTAAACACTGCTTCAAAGAGTGAACATGCTGTCTGAAGAGTCTGTTTTAGAGTATACCTAAATGGTGGTTTCACCTTTCAAGAAACATTTTCTACCAGTTTTACTAGTATCCTCTGTAGTGGTTTAACATACTACTCAGAGTATTGCATGTGCAGAAGAGAAATAGACTTAGTTTTCCCACTATGTAAAAGCATCATAGAGGCTGTCCTGATGTACACTTTTCAGTTTATTTAATAAAAAGTAAACTACCTTGTTCCCCTACATTTGTACTAATGCACCTAAGTCACATTCTGACACATGTTGGGTATAGAGGTATTAAGGGCAAAATTGCACTGCCAGAAAAATTCAATGAAGAACATTCAGGTTGGAAGCAATGGTAGGTCTTATGCCGTAGAATTCTTGTGGAAACATGAAACAATTGATGGAAGGTGTATCCCATTATCATGGGGAATTTTTGGGGGGTCAATAATCTCATAACTGAATTGCCAATTAACAGAACATTTTAGAAATGAGTTAGTAATTATGCAGTTTGGTTCTTAAGTGGCTGGTTATGTGTGTTAACAGGCCATTCATTATTCTAGTATTTGCCAACTGCTTTTGTCCATTCTCACAAAATAAATTTCATTTATTAAGTACTTGTTTGATATACTATATGATGATCTCTGTGTTTGTAGATGAAAGTATCAGAGTTTTTCTTCTCTGCAGTGTTATTCATAACAAAAAAACATACACTGTTTTTTGGGGTTTTTAATTTTTTTTAATACACTGATGTATATTTAGCAGTTTAGTTTAAGGCAAGAATATAGAAAGGAATTGTATTTTTACTCTCAGCCTTCTTTTTAATCAATGTTTGGACAATATACAGTATTTGGCTATGATAACACTTTTTGCAAATGTTATCCAAATACATTTTTATGAAATTACTGATATTTTGATTTTTTTTTTGTTTATCATTGGGACATACCAGATCACTGAAAATCACTAACACTTACTTACTTTCTTTAAACTCTAGTTTCCTATATTGATACAGCAGCTGCGTGAAGCTGCCAACTGGGATATGTAAGTAACAATTATTTAAAATTAATTTTTTTAAATATGGAATTATCACTGAATTTTATTAAAGATATTTTTTAACAGGGTATTTGAGGAGTGTTTTAACTCATCTGACTGCTGTGGTACCTGACTGGCAGTATGATGGTGTATATAACATAGAATTTTTTGAGCACTGATTTAATACATTGCTATTTCACAGGACCAAAGATTATAGAAAATCTCTAAAACTTTATCTAGAAGTTATATAATTTAGTGTATCAAATATTGTTACTTAAAATTACTGAATAAACCAACTTGCACCATAATAGTAGTAAAAAAACTGTAATGGTAGCTTTCTTCTAAATGCTTGTCAGAAATATTTCAATGTGATAGTGCCCTCTGCTGTTTTTTTTATAAATGTTGATTTTATTATTCCACTTGTTTCTTTAATGAAACATTAAAAACTGATTTCCTGATACAGATTTGATTTCTGTTTTGTCAGCTATACCGAAAAGTTTAAAATGTTCTATAGGGGTTTTCTCTGTTATAAGAAAATCGAACATGAGCATGACTGACTAGTAAGACTATAACAAACTAAAGAATCTTCATTCTTCAGTGCTAAAGGAAAGAAATATGTTTATACATGAATTTACTGCTAAATTGAGCTGAAATACTGAAATAATTTGATGATACATAAAAATAGAAATAAGAAGAAAATTGGAGCTGTAAACAGCACTTAAAAATATTTACTGCCTTTATGAATCTGTGTAAAATATAAACAAGACATAATTGTTTTTGTGATATTTTTGAAATATTTTTTCTGCACCTACAAAAGATTTATTTTATATGCAGACGTGCCAAAGTTGCTCGACTGATTGGTTTACTGGCATTACACGCATCTGAACTTGGAGAAAATGTACCTGTTTCAGAGGTAACTTTCCTTTTTTTTTGGGGGGGGAAGTTTTATTAATGCTTTTACTATTTATGTCAGAAACTTTCACAGTTTGTGGTTTTTTTGGGTGGTTTTTTTTTTTTTTTGGAACTTTGCTTTATTTTTTCTCATACATGTAAATAGGAATATAATTAATTCAGTTAATTAAGTGTATAAACTTCTGAGCTTATTCTATGTAGTTGTGGTTCTGATCTTTACTAACCTATGGCAGAACTACCCACAAATGATAAAACTCTAGCCTTTTGCTCTCCTTTTCAGTAAATTAAGTAGTCAATTCTTGTGCATGTGTGTTTAACAAGAAGAAAGTGTTGACATATTTGGTTATCCTGAAATGTATTTATTGTAATTAGTATAAAAATAGTACAATTGATTCTTAGAAATCCTTTTTTCCAAGAAGTAATTGAGGTGGGACTAGTTTGAGTTTCATCACAGTTCTTGAAGAATGTATGTAGTGAAGGGCAAGTCATTTTCTTTTGAGAAGAAAAAAAAAATTTTAATCCTTTTTTCATTTTGCATGCTCAGTAGTTGACTTAGACTGCTTTGTCTAATCAGTCTTCTGTTTTACTGTCCTTTTTTGCATGTGACACATGCACACAGATTGCATAAAGTTGACAGAATCTGCTATTTAATATCTGTTTAAAGTGTGAATGTGACATCATTTCTACTTCATGAGGTGAAGTTAGGATTTGAACACAATGGGTGTTTGAATGTGAGAAACAACTGCTAAACACGCGTAGCAAATAAGCCTCCATACTGTGCAGATCTGGTGTGTACAAACATGTAGCTATAGGTTAATATCTGACTTTTTTGGCAATGCAACTAAGGATTTTTTTGTTGTTCTAGATCCTTCTGTTTTCTTCTTAATGAATATTAAGAATGATTATGATTATCTTGCTATGTTGCTTAACATTTCAATTCTGCAATGAAAGCTGAACTCAAAACATTATTGTTATTACCTAGGGTTTTTTGTTTGTTTTATCAAGTTACAAAGTGCGGAAAGAGTTCTTATGGTTACAGTCATTGAAGTTTGGTCAAAGTCTTTCAATATTGACAGTTGCATGTCAATTGAATTCCAGGTCACAATTAAAATGCGCTCTTGTAAGTGGCAGATTTTTCTGATATTTAATTTTTTAAAGTTCCAGTGAAAATATTCAAAAGTAATTTTGAGATGTCTATATAACTTTTGGCTTTAGGTGTTTGCTTAGGTGTTTAGCACTAACATATTCAGCGATAGTTTCCCTAGCTTCGCAGTTTCCATCGTAGAAAATACATATCCTAGTCTGCTTTGTGTGTGTGAAAGCAATAGATTGAATTAGTTGTACATTGAGCTATAATATTATGTGTTCAAAATGTTTCCTGTTTGGTTTTTTTATATGAACATAAAAATCATTCACAGATGGAATTTACAATTTTTAGAAATATGCTGATGCTCCAGCTGAAGTTTCTTGGTGGCTGCTGTGGTTTAGGAAATGTCAAAAACAAGATAAGATGCAGGTAGCCAGAACAGCATGATCTAAAATGACTTTCTGTGATCCAGGTCTTACAGACTAAAGATGTATGAGTGATCTATCTATTGGTAGTTGTTTCTCTGTTTTGTTTCCTCCTTCATTCCTAGTAACTTCTGATACTGTTTGCTTTTTGACCCCTGTTAGACAGAGGTGATCTCTCTGTAGACCTATCTCCTATAGCCCCAAAATTTTGTTCCTAAGTGTGAAAAGTCATTTCAGAGCTCATGAAGATGCGATTCTGGAATTATTTTTGTCCCCGATGTGTGCCATACTATGTACACAGAGTTTTCTTTCCAATTTTTATCACTCAATCACAGCCCATTTGCAGTTCTTTGTTACCTCATTATACACTCATCCAGTTATTTGTGATTTGTTTTGTACTTTTAAAGTACTGCAGGACCTAATAGAGACTAATGCAGGACACCACTGCTGGCCCTTACATGTTAAAATCTGGCTCTTCATTTCTACCCCCTACTGTATTTTACCCAGTTATACATTTATTTAAGGATAGTTCCTCCATCTTTGAGGTTGAATCTGCACCATTACCTTTTTGTTTTTGTTGTTTAAACGATTTGTTAAATAGTAGTAACAATAAGTCCTGAAGAAGCAGAAAAACTTTAGGAAAGAAAAGAACATTCATCCTCATTTTACAGGCTAAACTAAACTTTCACATACTGTATGCCAAAAGACTGTAATTTGTTGTTTTTAGAAGAATTAATTTTAATTAATTAAGAATTAATTTAAAATTTTTTGTTTGTTTCAAAAGTTCTTATTCAGGTAATTGGTGAACAGCGATTTGTTTTGATTGTAACCACCAGAGGTCACTAAAATGCAAAAATAAAATGCAAGTAAACTACTAATTCAGAGACTAGACAAAGATGTACCTGTGGAACTGTGTACTATCTTTATCTTGCTGATATATTCCAATATGTAAGTTATATTAGCAAAAAATCATAATAAATGAATATTTAGTTGATCTATTTCTAGTTAAGTATTTTTTTAGAAGAATACCGCATTGATTAGAAAAACCGAGACTGATCTTAGAATACAGTGGGGAAACTGATCTCCTGTATTTTTTTCTTTAAATCACATTCTTATATTGAAGATGAAGACATTTTTTGTGTCATTTCTTCTATCTGGCAGGTGCAATAAAAGTTGATGATAGGTCACTTCTTTTTCTGACTTCGTAATGTATTTTTTTTTTTTCCCCATGGAATTGCCCTTTACAAATCTGAAACATCATTTCCTCTTATATATTCCTAGTTATCTTAGGAAAACACTTAACCACGAAAGTTTTATCTTTGTATTTAGGTTTTGAAACTGGTTCTTAAGGAACTAGATTCTACAAAAAAAGATTCTTTCTTTCCAGGATTCTTGGAAAGAAATATCTGCTTATTCTTCATCTTACAGAAAGAAAAATTCTTGCCAAGTTAGGGAGGCTTCCTTCCATGTATGTCTAATTTGTCTTATTTATTAAAAGAAGCTATTGTTCTTTCCTCTCTGTGAATAGATCAAGCCTTCTGCCATCTAGGACACAGCCACTCTGATGTGAAATTTCAGACTCTGTCTTTTATTTTTGTAAGAGATAATAGAGCAACTTCACAGAATGCCTCCATGCTGGGGAGCAGTGTCCTTCTCTGTCTGGTAGGAGACCAGCCTCGTCCACCTATTGAGTTGTTCTCTGCCTGTCCTTTTGGTGGCAAAAATCTAGTCCTTTTCCTTAACACTTTTAAATTCACAAATTGGGAATATCAGTCTCACACTATGACCTAAGCAGCTGTGCCTGTTATTTTACAGACCTGGGGCCTCTGCTCTACTGAGTGTTTAAAGGGCTCGGAACCTGCTACAGCCTTCACACTGCAAGTTTCTTTGCAAAGCCTTTGGCTTATGGAATTCCATGGCCAAATTAAGAAACTAAATATCCTATGGAGAATGACAGCATATTAGAATATCTCTGTAATACTGACCTTAGAATATGATTCCTTTGTCAAAGCAATGGAATATCTTGATTTCTGTTTTCATCCAAATTGAAACTCCGTGTAATTTGAGCCTTATTATTTCTGACTGAACCAACATACAATTTGGTGGTTGTTTTCTGCAGTTGCATCATTACAGGTCCAGTTTTATGACCTGTAAACTCACATGACTCATACTTTGGTCTAGGTCTCCAGTTTGTTCTCATTCAAATTCTTACGGAATGCCACTTTTAAGTCATGTTCCTAGCCTATCTCTCCGATAACTCTTGTTTCTAGGTCTATCCACGTCTACCCATATTGTAAGGAGATTCAAACAAAAATGGTTTCATTTGGCCATTTATTCCCAACCTATTTAGTTTTAATGTTGTTTTTATTATAAAATAATTTTTTTGAGTCTGCTCACAAATGATCGTAGTTTTAGTGTATCTTTGTTTCCTCCAAGGGCACTTTTCTTTTTTTGCCCTGATACCTCTTATGTAAAAAACAAAATAAAACAACCCCCTCCCCTCAAAAAACCCAAACAAAACCAAAAAAACCCCACTCCACTTAAAAAAAAAAAAAGTCTGTAGGTAGGAGATGGAAGCTGTAGCAGAGTGTGTGCATGAATACTTACACATGTGCACACACACAGAGATGTCTACTGTTTTGTAAAATTATTGTTTTAAAAGTTTAAAATTATTTCTGGCATAATCAGGACTGTCACTTGATATTTTGGTAACAGTGAGAGGAGATTCCATTTAAGTTTTCTGAGTGACTTTTAGTAAACTTTCAACCTCTATAATAAATTCCTTCAATTTATTTTCAACAACCTGGTCCATTGCATATAACTTACATACTTGCTGGGAGCACACAGGAGGAAAACAAACAAATAAAAGATCAACATTTCTCAGGTGAATTAGCCTTTGCTGGCAGAAACTTATGGTGTGTTTGAGTTCTTCCAAGTTAATAAACCGAAAATGTAAATATAATTAAATTAACAACAATGAATCTGTCAAGCATGGCAGTTCTGGATAGTTGGAGAAAATATTAAGACCTTTTATCATAATTGTAGGAAGATTCTTCCTCTCCCCCCCTTTTTCCCCCCCCTTCAGAAAATTGACTTTATCAATCCAGTTAAGTGGGCTTGCTTTATGTTTGAAGTGCAAACCAAATTGGTAGTAGAAAAGAAGGAAATTCTCAGCTAGGGAACTGAAAACTTACATTGCTGATTGCAGGTTTAAATCACTTTTTGCAGTTTTCTTAGAATAATTGCCTGACCAAAGCAAAAACTGTACTCTTTTAAAAGACATTTAATTGACACTGTTTCCATAGTCCATTAAATCTACTCATTTTCCTCAAGAGATGACATAGTACATTTTTCCATTAAAATGCCATCAGTGGTCCTGCCAGTATGTCTCTTTGCAATAGTCTTCAATTTAGTTAGTTCTTATGATAGTAAAAATGCTGTAGGTTGTTTTTCTACAAGTCTGTTGTTTTTGGGATAATAAAGAACTAT